ATTAGTGGGTTTTCACATTTTTCGTTGTACGCAAACGAGTTGTCGGTTTACAGGTAAAAAATTGTGTACTGTGCGCAAACGAGTATCACCGGATTTTACACCATGCTATTCAAATGACAAAATTCTAAAAAACCAGACAAAATTATTGAAGAACTTGGATTAAATGGATTCCACGGATTTTAATTTTGAAAATGGATATTAATTAGTCATTGTGTAATGTGTTAGTTAAGGAATGGTCGAGGGGATTTTATTTATTCAAATTATTCGATAAAACATCGGCAATGAAAAAAAAAAATATTTTGGTATTTTATATGTTTAAGTATGACATTAATTGTTGTAATAATGATAAATGTCCACGGCCATGCTTCAGTAGAGTTGTTGAAGATTTTTAATTAGTTTAAAATTAAATTTTTTTTTTTTAAATGTTAATGATTAAAATCCGTCAAATTCAAGTCCCACAGTTTTTTCTAGCTTTTGGCCGGTTTTGCGTGATTATTTGTACCTAATCCAGAACCCTTAAATACACACCCATACGTGAAACAGATGTAACTGTAGTACAGTAATAATAACCATTATAGGCACATGTGCGTGATATGTGCGGCCGGCTAGGGCGATCGATTAGGACGGTTTCTTGTCGTCGGAATATTATTAAGCACCTAAAATATGATTATATCTCCAAAAAGAAGAGGAATAATTTTACGTCGTTTCGAGAGATTTATTCTCGATTAGACTACTGCAGTAGCCGCTGGCGTGCTTATATAGGTGTCTCGGTTTGATATTGAATCGTATATAATCATAACACAACCGGAAAGAACGGTACATTACTAAGGACCCATCCGGCATCCGTAGCCGACGTTCAATCGTTTCTATATTTCTTAATTATATTTTTCTTTATCTTCAAGAAAATCGTGTCGTTCTACGTTACTAAATTATTATTATTAATATTATTAAGACACCAAAAGCGCCGTTCGTATACAAAATATCATTTACGCAAAACCTGTTATTCAGCAGCTTGAGCAAACTGAATTCCAATTTTGATCTCAAGTTTACGCCTTGCTAAATTGTGTTCTCACTTCTCAAATGAAAATTACTCGGTAATTATATAGGGATTCATTAGCTGCACTGGATAGTTCCAAAATGTAAATAAAAGCATTTTTTTATTTATAATTACCACTTATACCACAATTCCACGATTTTCAATTAAATTGTATTTATCAATAAGAGTTTTAAAAAAAAGTTGCCAAGTAGCTACAAGTTGCAAAGTCCGATTTTCACTTGATGACTAATAAGTTGACAACTAGACACTCAAACTCAGCGTTCAACAACTTATCTACATAAAAATAAGACACCGAAAAAGCGCCAAGTAACTATTGGCATCTACCAACATAGTACAACTAACTTGACCCTTAGAAGTTAGAAGATTTACAATAAGAAATATTAAATTAGGTGCCCAGGTGTGTAAACCTCTTTGTATATCCTGACATTCCAATTAATGTTTATTTTTTTTGCAAAATTCGGATGTACCGAAAATGCCACTTGTTATTTTTATAAGAGTTAAACTATTAACTGTGTCAATTATTATTTTTAAATAATAATAATTATTTTCTGCAATTTTCACAAAATATATTTTGTGATAAATTTATCTACTTATGAAACAAAAGTTAAAAGTAGCATAACCACTGAGTCATAAAGGTGTATGTTATAAAAGTAAAATTATCAAATTTGTATATCATTGTTAATGTAGACGTTTAAAGTCTGTTAAAATATTTCTTTATTTACAAAAAAAAATTAATATAGCTGTATTTTTATCAAAACATTGTTAATACTATTAAAAAGTTCATACATAGTATCTACTTAGAACTTAGAATAAAAAAACTTAGTAGAGTATTATAAAAAGTTAAAGGAGTGCTACTATAGCTACGTAATGTTAAAATAAATTAAATTATTTATTTGAATAATAACTGTAGCACCCCCCGGAAAAAAATTCTAGAGTTTTACCTGAGTACCTACTAACACCAGATAATATGACGTACGACTGTCCGAGTCCCGATATTATAGCATGCGGTATAATTTTCGTCACGCTAGGTTTGAGATGAGTCGAAAAAGTTTTTAAATAACGAGTTTTCTTTAACCTTCACTATGGCATACCATACGGTATGTGCGCTCAGCCAGTCTCTATAGCCTCTGATGGGAATGTATATGTTCTAAACAAATATAATACAATACTACATAATCGAGTAATTAATATACGGTCAAATATATTTTTTCAATGATCACCACCCGTGGAGCAAATCCCATACTAGGCAAATGAGTACCGTGAATGCACCCAACTAGTATTTAAAATTAGTCAATCCAGACTCCAGAGTGCTTATTTTTCATAAAGTTTGACATGAAAATATGAAACAAAACATAAAAAAGATTAATTTGGGTTTTTACTTTGTGGTAAATCTATATTCTGTATACGCCTTAAACCAACTGCATCTGGACTGTTCTAAAACTATAATAGGTATCTAAATCAAAAACTATTTTATGGCACATTATGAGCACTATAATAATGCATTTTTTCACTAAGCTGCGTTGGAGTAGATAATACAGATAGGTATAGCATATAATATAGGTAAATATTGATGTCAAACGACGGAAATGTAACATTTTAATCCGATATCGGTTTTTTACCTATGTAGCTGGCATTCCGCTCATGATTTATGGAATCTCAATCGGTTATATATAATATATAATTATTATTTATTACAAGGTATATATAATGTTTAATTCAAAACAGTAACCTACATCCTACACTACACCTTCAGGCTAGGTACCCATAATATTAATAAACTTTGTAAATATTAAAGGACATTTGAAAGTCAATAATTTTTTTAATAAAAAAATAAAATAAGGAATTCGGGCGTCACGTTTCAAGTATACCTACATGGCTACATACCGAGTTTGAGAAAATACTCTGACTATACCGGATAAAAAAACCTACTCCGGTGCATTTTAATTTCCAAGTTCAATTATATATATTTAGTTGTCATAGATATTTTAATAGCTACCTAGCCTACCTATACTGTAAATGTATAAATTCACTAAAAAAAAATTAATATTAGATGCGATTCTAGAACTAAATCATAGTAAATTTGGTTACAAAACTTGGGGGGCTAGAATAATAATATTAGTAGTAGGTACTAGGTATATTATTCAATTTTTTAATAAAGGGACCAGAAATATTGGTACTGGCAGCTCCCCGCCTCCCCCCCCCCATACGCTAGAACAGCCACTGAATAGTATTATTTTTTAAATATATACTATTATATAGCTACAGATGAATTGTTTACCAATAACTTGACAGTTGTGTGAGGTATTGTTCTGGTTTTTTGCGAGATACAGTGTATGGACGACAATTTTTTCTGTTTTTAACCACAAGGTTGTCACTTGTCGCTCATGATAACAGTTGCGTGGGTAATGGGTATGGAACATGCACGATTTTTCTTGTAAATACTAAGTATTAGATTAGAATAATTATTTGCAACAAGCCTTGACCGATTTATAGGTTACATCGATGAATAATGTGTATAATAAGTATGTATACAGATAGATAGGTACTAGCTAGGTAGCTATTTTCAATATTTACCATTTGGCATTTCGATTTATAAATGATATTGTGATTTTACAGATTATAATACGTCATGGAGGTTCTCGAGGGGCGAGGAAGGAGTGGAGTACAATGCACTGTTTAAAGTCAAGTTCATTCGTGTATGTACATTTTTTCTAGGTAAACATTTCAAAAATTGGACAACTCTACTGATAATATCAAATGTTGACATGTTGTACTACTATATTATATTGAACATAATATTATGATAGGCAGTCCCATTTCTAAGTCAATTTACGATGGAATATAAAAAAAAATCACGAGGCATATTTATTAAGAGGACGTAACACTGACATTTGTTTTCTCCGTCTTACAAGTGCGTAATATAGAAAACATACGCTCAACAGATCACGTATAGCTTTGTTAGTTTAAAAATTAGAGTGAATACTTATTTTGAAACTTGATGGTAAGAATATTATCAGTGTTTGTAGTTGGTTTTTTTTTCGATAGTTCAATTTTTTTGTTTATAATACAACGTAAATTAAAAATGCTAATAACCAACTTAAAAACAGAATAATCGTTAAAACCCACATACAAACACAAACCATGTTCCTACCATCAAATGTAATAAGTGGTCGATTCACACAAATTTTTAAACTAACGAAGCTATACGTGATCTGCTGAACTTGCATTTGCTATGTTACGCACTTGTAAAACGGAGAAACAAATGGCAGCATTAACTATTAAGTCATTGTAAGACAGATGTTATACTATTGTCTATTATAATGTATAATAAAGGTATATTCGTATTTTAACCGTAGAACTATTATGACTGAAAACGACCTATTTTTTTATCAATATAATGAGATTTAAAAATATTTTGCATAGGATAGTGAGCAGCTTTTATTATTAAAAAGAGAGATACAAATAAATAATGCATTCATATTTTATTATCCATTAATTATTATTATGATTTATGAAAATACATTGTACAATGGTTTATTTTTTATTTTATTTATTTAAGATTGTACAAGACTCATTCCACCAAAATGTCACACTTTATAATATGGCAAGCTGTCCTGATATATTAACAATATTCAATACACTCTCGCGAACAACACAAAAACAATTTGTTCGATCTTTTTAATTTTTTCTCCAGTTATTATACTTCTTGATTTGTAAAACAATACTGTGATGGACATACGTTATAGGCTGTGTCAACGAGTAAGTACACATTCAAAATCATTCTAGTGCAATGTATAAACTGAGCCCTTCATCCTCTAACCATACTAAACACACACATTGACACAGTGTACATTTAAATACACATTAGTTAGTCACAGTGTTTATTAGCAAATTAATTGAAGCATATAATCTTCTGGAAGCTGATAGTAATTAATTTACATGGTTTCTGAACGAGGCCCGATAAATGGCCAGATATTGTTATGTATTTATAAAAATGTTTACCAGACAAAGTCTATAAATAATCTGAATACAAATTGTAATAAGTACACAATACTTTTATATGAAATAGGACAAAAAATAAAAAGTCAAGTACATAATATTCTTAAGTAAAATAAGGGACTACAGATTTGACTTATACAACAAAAAGTTTATCATTCTAAATAAACAGCTGAGAATAAATAGTTCATTGGTATTGAGATAAATAAAATATTTCATATTTAAAATCCAATAACCATGTATATAAATGCGAATATTGGACCATACAAGACTTTAAGGTTTGATAATAACATTTAATATTTTATGTGGTAGGTAGACACAAGGGTAAAAGTGTAATTTAAAACCATATTCCACAATTAATAATCTTACTTTTCAAAATCAAACAATACTGCAATTAACACAAATAGTTGAAGAAAAAAAATTTGCACAATATAATCAAGACACAACCTTAAAAAAAATCAAGTACAAAATTAAAAAACTGTGAGTAATACCACTATGATTAAAACTTATTTTATGTAAAAGTATTTTGTAATTTTTAGAGGAAAAATATTTAGGAAGACAAACATATAATATTCTTATTTGAACGCATTTAAAATTTGGCACAAACAAAAGTAATTGTGATGTACACTATATTTTTTATCATAAGACTAAAAAATATAAATTATAAACTATGGATATTGATTTGTTGGTATTTATTTTTATAAAGGTAAAAATAATAACAAATAAAGTAGTATAAAAATAATTAGATATAGCTATGAGGATTATGTACAATAACCCCTATTCATATTCAAATAAAGGAAATAGCATGTATTAAGAATTGGCTGCAATAATGGTATGTAACAATATTACATCTATACTTTTTGCGAATAAAACATTATTGTAATAAATAGTATTGGCTGTAAAATAGTTTTGCTTTTACGCATACATTCAATTTTATTCTATTGAAATGTTAAAAATGTAATTTGTGTTCCAAAAATCTACAATTTATTTATTTATTAATCACATTGATTAATTAATCTCACACAAAATAGTAAGTATAAATTCAGTAGTCAGTATCTATTAATGGAATAGATAAATGAATAAGTGCATTAGTCTAATAAATAAAAGTAAAATAATTTATGATAATATATATTATAATCATTTCATTAAGTTAAAATAATATTAGTTTACCATATTCGTCTTAAGAGAATATTTATTTCTTTTTACTCTTGCCTAAAGTCAGAGTATGATGTCCCATGCTGGAATACTGATGCTTCCTTCTGTTGAACTCCGTAAGATCATCTTCATACTTTCTTCTCTGTTCTTCCAACCTTTTCTTCTGGTCATCTTGATCGCGTTTCAGTTTATCAAATTTGGCATGTAACTACAAGTCATACATTTAAATTATTTAATTTAAAAATATTTGAACAGAAATCCATGTCTACACATTTTGTAATTTATAAAATGACATATCAATATAGTATGATTTTCTACTAACAACATTGCATACTTGGTAGTTATAAAGTTGTAATGTTTTATAATTTGTGTCTATGAAATATTTTTTTCGTAAGTTATAAAATTATCATTAGAAAGCAAATAAATAAAATAGACATCCTTTTTTTAAAACAAAGAACATGGAATATTGATCAGAGGTAAGTAATGCTTACAATATTACTTTTTAAATTAAAACTGAATATAGTTAGAGACTCTTCTAAAAATCAAACAATAATTATTATTCGCAGCATGTAGGAGGAACAATTACAAGTTAATTTTTATTTAATATTTTTAATATTGTAAGTTATTGAATTTGAAGTGGTGGATAACTTTAAATACTTAGGAGTAAATGTCAACAATAAGATTAATATGTACCAGGAAGTGAATGAAAGAATTATGAGTGGGAACAGGTGTTATTAAAGTATAGTCAAACTACTAAAATCAAAACTTCTCTAGTGTGATATGCCTTTACCATAGCTAAGCGCGTCCAATAAAAACATATGCATGTGAGACATGGTCTTTAACAAAAGACAACGAGAGAAAATTATTAATATTTAAGAGAAAAATACTCCAGAGTATCTATGGGCCGCGATTCAACTAAGAAACAAATAGATATGAAAGAAAAAGAAACAAGGAATTACAAAAATTATACAACAGACCAAATATTTTAGCTTTTATTGGAAATAAATGACTAAAGTGGTTTGGACACACTTGGTGAGCAGATGTACAACTAATAAAAGAAAACAAAAACAAGACCCCTAGGAAGACCCAGAACCAGGTGGATAGATGTTTTATACATAACCATAGACTTGAAAGAGAAAGACCAGAATATGACATTTGAGTCAAACAACAGAGATTGGCGGCGAAACCACTTGAATGCATCATTGGTTTTTAACGGACCGATAAGCTGAGAAGAAAATATGACATTATGAACATTAATTTAATTAAACAGTTACCTATAATAGTATCGTTTAACAACATATGGTAACATAATGAAGAATTACAAGAAAATTTGCTGTATACCATTAATCTAAAATTAGCATAACGCAGCAAATTAATAAATAATGATGTAATGTTTTTGAAAAATAAAAATATCTACAAAGGTAAATGTTAATAAGTATATTATGTTATAATATTATAATGATCAGTGTAGGTAGGTCGATTGTCAGAAATGGCTATTTAATAAAAAAAATAACTAATTAGTTATTAGTTATTACCAATTTACCATTGTGACAGTAATTTCTTAGAACACAATATATCTCCTCAAAATATTATAAAAAAGGCATATTATTTATAGTAAAATATCAGGCTTCTTTTAAAATCAAACCGGGGTAAATTACCTACTCGAAGCCCCCCTCCTTCACCAAAAAAAAAAAAAATAACGCCACTAAACTAAAATGTATATGACATGTGTAACAATATATAACTCACGTATATATTATAAATTACAAAGATAGCAAAAACTGCATAATTAAATTTAAGCTAAATATTAGTTAACATAAAAAAAAATAGCAAATTAATTGATTGTACGAAGACTACCAATATTACTTGAGTACCTAAATTCATGTTATTTAATTTATAAAAACACAGCTTTAATATAAAGTGTCAATGCCCTATTGTCACATTCTGACATTAAGAATTCCATGAAGTAATAAAATGTTTTATAATTCATAGAGGGAAATTAGTTAACTATAATGTAAATGTTATTATATTCGTCTCTAAAATATGAATGTCCATAATAATTAACTTTATTTGAATCACGAAAAAAACATACTTACACACTTTACACAACATCTGATAGAAATATTAAATGTTGTATTAAACAGTTAACCTAACCTAACAACAATTTTAGAAATAATTCTGCACTAAAAAAAATAAATTATAATTTGTGGTCAGTAATTTGAATTGATGTTCATTGTTTATCAATATAAATATTTATTCTTAAATGATTGACTAGTGAGTAGTGGTTTGATAATAGAATCAAAGTACTTTATAAATCAATTAAATACATTTACTGGCACAATTAATTTGGTTATGATCGTATTGAACAGATAAAGCAAATAATATATTTTCGTACATTGTACAATATTAATAGTATTTTTCCAATTATCAGTCGTTTAGTATATTAAGTATTGTTTCTATATTCTTCCATTTACTGGTTCATATTATGTTTATTTGTTGACATTAGATATAACTTTTATTAAATAATTAATATTTTAATAAAAATTGATAGCAGTTCAAGTTATAATCATAATATAATGAAGTTTAAACTGAATATTACATGAAACTTTATTCCACCCCAATGACATGAATGAAATGTAACAGAGTCTATATTGTAAAATATGGTTTTTAACTTACATTCTTGAACATACACAATACATATTTTAAGTTACCTCTTTTTCAGCTTCTTTCAATTCTGCTTCCTTTTCTTTTACTCTGACAACAAACATTTGTCTCATTTCATCTTCCCGATTCTGCAGCTCTTGTAAATGATGACTACGCTTTGCTTCAAATGATTCCTGGAAGCTTAGTGGCTTATTTTCGTTGTCCACATCACTAAAGCCCATCTACAAAATATGAAATATAGTTTACAAGATGTGTTGATTCTTTTAATTAAATTTAAATTTTACTTGTTCCAATCGCATTTTTCGATACAATTCATAGTGTTTATCGTGAGTTTTTTCTCGCAAATCTTCCATGTTAGTTCTAATTAACATCTCTCTTAGCTTGACAAAATCACAATGTGATTCATTTTCAACTGTCAACATAATTTAAATAAATTATTATAACCTTAAGGCACAAATACAAATTATTTAAAAATTATACTTTTTACAAACCTTGAACTGTTCCCCACGGATACTGACGAGCGCGCACCATTTTGTTTGCAACTTTGGCAAAATCCGTGCTTCCAACAACAGCAAATGGTACATGAGAATTCATATTAGAGTTGACATCAGCTATAGTTTCATCTTCAGTTGGGCACTCATAAATTTCTACTCCATTTGATCGCAATTCAGTGATTATTTTTGTCTAAATTATGTAAGTTTTTAAAAAATGTATTAACATTGCAATTATTATACTTAAATATGAAATCACATCATATACTGAATGATTTACCAAGGATGCTCACCCTCTTAAATTGCTCAATAATTTATTCAAAATCTGATTTTTTTAATTATTAAATTTAGTTTAAGCCCATATTTTCAAATTCTTGAAATTTGTTGTACTACTTAATTAGTGTTTTGCGGAGATACTAACTTCTGTTTTCTAAATGAGAGCGCCCCTATTCAACAATAATTTTTTTTTTTATTAGTTTCTAATAATAACTATGAGAGCAATCAACATTAATATAAATAATAAGTATTATTAATATTAACTGTAAATTGATAATTATAGTCGTAAAATAAAAAAAATACAAGGTTCAACTATAAATTATACAGTAGTTCATTTTTCTGAAATTTTTGACATATCAAAATCAAATTTGTATGAGTAATTTTTGGGTTATTATACTTTGAGTTCTAAGGATAAAAGGTCCATAATAATGAGTTTATAAATAATAGGGGCTATGATGATTTTGTAGTCATTAATATTAATAATTTATATAAATGGCCCAAGTATAATAAATATTAGACCCGTTTTCACATCTATTTTATATTTATGTAAAACTAGTTTTAAGTACTATTATCCTTCATACAAAGATTTTAATAACTAAGAAACTATTCATTCAAATTTTGAAAATGGTACATCAAAATTTTTAAAACAATTATTCATTAATTAATTCACGGTTAAAAAGGGAGGTTCTCATTTAAAAAAACATAAGTTTCTATCACCACAGGACACTCCTTAAGAATTTGAAAAATGTAGTTATTGAGTATATTTAAAAATTCAAAAAATTTGAATAAATTCATTATTAAAAGAAAAATGCTTAGTGAATCACCAAAAATAGTGCACAAGTTCAATATGCTATATATTGACTATTGCATGTTTCATTGTTTAGTATAATATCTACCAAAATAATGGTTTACCTAATAGCTCTAATTTAATTTTAACCAGTACATATAATTTAATTACAATTTTAGCCTTGTAAATAAGAAAACACTTCAACACATGCCATGTTGTCTCAGCCTTCAAAACACCCAATAAACCAATTTTTAAGTTCATAATGATCAATTTAACTTTGTTATTTTTAAAATTAGACTAAAATTGACTTTTTGCAAAATGTATAGACAATATTATACAGGGTATTTTAAAGGTCTTTATTGATATTTTAAAAACAAAAAGTTTAGTTAAGATTTATGAGCATTTCAAACTAATTTTTTTGTAAAACTATTTTAACTTGCTGTACAATTAACATATTAATAAAAGACTCAGAGACGCTCTTAATAATCATCTCGCCTTTACATGAACGTACAATTGTCCATGTTTTTGTGAGAAGGAGACGACACGACAGGTGTGGTATCCTCTTAAGAATAGACAATTTTAGAAAATATTACTACACATTAAATTATGATGGTTTTTCGGTATATAATTGGTTTTAATAATAACATTAAACCAATATAAAATTACCAAAGAAAATATAACTATGGAAGATAGCATTTTAAACAAAATTTTATACTGAAAATACTTTACCTTAAACTTTTGTAATTCAGACTTAGAGATAGTATCTGCTTTGGCAATAATTGGAATCACATTTACCTTGGTATCAAGTTTTTTCATACACACTAAATCAATTGATTTTAATCTATAAATATAAGATAATATTAAAAATTAAATAGGTTACAAGACTTTGATTTATACCAAGTGAATTATCTATTGTATTATATTTAAATTTTCAATATTTTCAAACTATTTAGTATCATAATAAAATAATAGTGACCACTAAGATATTGTATACTCTTTTTGCCATAAGAATGTGGTTGCACAAATCTCACTACTTGTCAGCTACAGTAAAATGTGTGAAGTAACCACATTCTATTAACAAATGAAGTAAAGCTTATAGGTATACATTGTGTTACTGATTAAATTATCCTAACATAGTTTAAATTATAAAACACTTGGTAAAGGCAAAGTAAATTTTGAATTAAATCATAACATACCCATGTCCAGTAGGACAGATGAAATACAAACAAGTATGAACTCTCGTGTCGTGATATGTTGACAGTAAACGCTTTACTTTCAGTTCTTCTTGTAAATAATATTCAAATTGTGTATCAATGTAGTCTACAATAGATTTGAAACTGTCTTCTTTGTTTATTTGATCACCATAACCAACCGTCTCGACAAGCGTCAACTAAATAAATATAATGAAATTAAAACACCATCAGTAATAATACGTTTATAATAATTGTTTATCTACTTGATACATTTGACATTAATACTATATTTGTGAAAATTAGATAATTTGCTTGATTACAGTTAAATGAAAAACTAAATAATTGACATTGATATTTGTTCTTTTCATTATTATAAATTGGAAACCTTACATAGTTATCACATCAATAAAACTTAACAACTATAATGAGTTGATGAGGTGTCATTATTTACTCCTATTTCCTTATATGGTTAATTTTGAATAACTAGTTTTTCAATGTCTACACCAAATTGTGGTACTTGCTTAGTATGCAATCTAGACAAAATTTAGAAATTTAGTATTCTACCTATATTTTTGTTTGGACCTAGAACTATATTTAAATTGGTAAACTTCCAAACTATAGTTTTACTAGATTAATGTTTAGAATTAAAAACCATTAAAAACAGTTATATTCCAATTATTAAGAGTATGGCGGTATATTGTTTGTAGGCGAATAAATGAACTGCACTTAAACCTATGAACTATCACACTAATAAGGGAAACTAAAATTAAAGCTCACATAATGTTTTCTCTATTTGATTATAAGTTATCACAAAACCATTTCAGTGATTAATAATTAACAACCAAATGTGTTATGAAGTGAGTCTAATAAGTATAATCCATAGGTGTCTAATAGACAACATTGATTAGTAAACAATAATAATACCTAACATTTTTACCTTAAGTTGAACATTGCTCTCTTGCAATTCATAAGTGTGAGCCTTCAGTTTCACATTTGGCAAATTGTGTGTGGACGGGGTGGATTCAAAATTGGTGTTAAACAGCGAGTCCATTAGTGTCGATTTTCCCAGGCCCGTTTCGCCTGAAAACATAACAAAAGTTCCATTTCAGACATAAGATCATGCTGTCCATGCATCAACTGATCGTGTATCAATCAAACTCACCAATGCACAGTATGTTGAACACGAAGCCGTTTTGAGCAGACTTATGTGTTAGCTGGTCGGGCATGCTATCAAACCCTACATGTCCGTTCAGGCTAAGGGTGCGCATTGTCGACTTGCTGGTCTCGTCCACCTATAACACAAGTAGTAAATTAGGATAAACTGTACGGACACCACTAAAACAAAACACAACGCATACTTTCGGTCTGTTCATCACTGCGGCCATGATCCCAAAGAAACGATGTGTGTCCGCCTCAAACGATCAATGTCTGCTGTCGCAACGATTCTTGTTAGTTGTTACTTGTTGAACGATTTCTTCGACAACGCCTATTAATTAAATTTATAATTCATATACAGCAATGTTTACTGTTTTAAATGTTATTTTATACTTTTTTTTTTTATCGTCAAATTCCGTCTTGATAGCGTTCGCAATGACTCATTCTCATTGGATATTTGGATGACTAAAGCCGAACGCCGTTTTATCACATGTAAATACGTAATCACCCGCGCCGCCACACATAGTTGTTGACCGGTAGATAGCGCGACGGCGCGGTGTCGCCGCCATCCACTATTCACGCAGTTAATTTTCTCATCTATACAAAATGTTATTATATTACGCGTTGCATTGTACATTATTGTAACCACTACAATAAATACGTTGATTGTCCGTGCACCAGAGATCATCATTCATCAATCAGCGATGTGTTAGAGGGTCATTCATTAATAAAATAAAAATTACGACCACGTTCATCTTGATAGGTAGGTTGTACTACAGCAATCCGCCTATATTATATCCGCTTTCATCAAAGCTTATTAGTTATTACTATCGGGCTCGCGTTAAAAATTTCGTGGTTTAGATAATATTGTAACATTGTGTACATAGACAAAAGGTTTATTTTGTTGCTGTTCTGAACTTTTGTTTTCGAAAATATCGTCTGGATTTACAATAAAATTGTATACTAGGTCGTTTTCGTTATAAAAATGTACGTAAGTACCTATCTATAGTATAAATTAGGTATTGAATATTAATTATTATCCATTTTATCAATGTTATTTATTACACATTTTATTATTCCGAAATAACGTCATAACTTCGTAATTAACGATTTCTTACGTCGCTAGTTATACATATCGGTGCAATATAGTACATAGAAATGGTCATGTTTGTTATATTTAAACGTCTCGTGGTTCGTGTGTACGCATATAGTCGGTTTCGCTTGTAAAAAAATTATAGAATCAATGCATTATCAATTAAATTGGTTTTGTTATACCTACTAGATATACTACCTAGTCATTCCGGTCGACACCACTCAACAGCCGTGTCAAACAAGAATATAATATAAATTATAAATTATACAGAATAGTGTTTCTATCATGAACCAAAAAGCATCTATTACCTATCCATATTACCCGTACGTTGTACGAATTTATCATTTTTTAACTTTTAATGGTAAAACTATTAATTAAACCATGCATTAATTAAGTGTACTCTTCTATGTTCCTAACATCAAAAAAAAAAAAATTAAATTAAAATCGTACGATGCTTATACTTGGTCAAGTTATTGTGATGGTTTACGTTTGTGACGAAAATAATAAGCATCGTCCTGCACATTACGAAAATACGTATATACGCATAAGTATAATAACAATAATAATAGTATTGCGCGCAATATCGTTTCATGTAATGAAATCAATTTGCATATTATAAATAAATATATTTAGCCATACATGGTTACCCATAAGTACTACACTCAACGACATAACCGTTGTTGTTATTTGTTATTTTTACCAACTGACAATATTATTTAAAAAAAAAACAAAATAAACTTAACTCGATATTCAATCCTATACGCATAAAAATTAAAAAGTGTTTTCATTTTTAATATTATTAAATTTTCTGGTCAAATGCCCGTCTATGAATATTTAACAATTAAATGACAATTGTTTATTTTATCATACAATAATGGGCAACGGGCATCACATGTCAACACATTTCTTTACAGTTTTACTTTTACTACTGTTTTTAATATTTACTCCAGAATCGAGAAACTTGATAAAAAATAAATTGAAAGTGTATTGACACAATATTTGTTAAATTCCAATCCACAAAAGGACTGTGTGAAGCTTTTTGGTATTTTTCAGCTCAATAAAAAGTTTTTAGAAGAAGTTTAGAAATTATGTTAGATTATAATAACCTGTAACCACCTTCTTTCGGAATCTAAAATATATACAAAACTGCCGAGGTAAGAGTATAGGCGGTAAGCACACAGTGTTAACTAAGGCAAGTGATAACAGTTTTAGAGTTTTTACCCTTTAGTTATTATTCAAATTGAATCTGGAGAAGAATACGTAAAGTGTTTTTCCCTTCGTATTCAAATGATTTAGGTTGTTAGCCTGTGAGTGTGCGTGTCAAAGCTATAGTACAAACGAAAAAAAAACGCTGCACAACAATACAATTAATTTGACGGACAGGTCTAAGTCTCTTTACATTAATTATGTATATAATATATTTACATACCCATGCGAGGAATAATAACTCTCCTTTAAAATTTAATCGGTGAATTAATTATTTAATTTACTTAATTAATTATATTTTTTGTTACCATCAATTCTAGTAATAATTCTATAATATATTTAGATGTATACTAAGTGATTATTTTAATACAAATCATTTTAGTACCTCTCTCAACATTTAAATTATTTACGAGTCGATTATAATAAATATTACTATAAAATCATATTTTTTATATAATTCTCAAAAAATGTCATACAGTATACTTTGTAGGATTGAATAACGTTAACTTGTGAACTTCAGACGTTAAAATTCATAATTATTAGCATTAATATATAATAGTGTTGGTGTAGACATATAGTTAATTTGTAACAAATAACATTTTTTAATTTTATATCTTCAAGTTATTTAAATGTTTATTGAAAGAGGTGCTATTGGCCGATGTACGTCAAAATAATTGGCAAGCTGTACCTGTATTATAATAAATATCAATATTATAAATTATCGTCTGGTAGGTTTATTATGAAATCAAGTATCATAAAAGAAACTCGTTGAAAAAAATCGGGTACCTACTACAAAAAAGTATAGTTACTACATATTCATAATTCACTCCAACTAGACCAAATTGCTTATACGTTAAACACTTAAACAGCACAGTGGTTTATGAACGAGCAAATGTTTGTAATTTTATTTGCTTAAAAGCTTAATTCTACCATTGATTATAAATACAACACATATAATCAATGCTACATTTATTCTACAAACACAATTGACGTTGTTTATGTTTGTATGCTTTGATGACGTTGCATAAGAACATTGTTAGTAGTTAACACCTACATGTCCTACCTGCATTTACTATTAGGTATTTAAAAGTTTAGGACAGTTAGGACAACGCATTGGCATACTTTCAACTTTTTTTTGGGTTCAAAACTTTTGTTAATTCTAATATTTTATCTATAGGTATTTGATATTATAAAATTGTTATTTATTTATTGCTACACTTAACGTCTTTGTATGAACATAATCTACATTATATTATAATATAATATCAAATTAAAATTTCAATATCTTTAGTTACTTAACCTTTTCTCGGGTTCTGGCGACAATGTACGATGTTGTGAACAAAATATATAAACACAGTTATATCATGCATTGTATATATAATCCAGCTTTTAATATTATTCCTGGATTGATTACCTTCTGTTATTGATTTGCAGAATTCTAAACACAGTGTAAGTAAATTTCGAAATATAAATTGGAACTATTATTATTTTCACAGAAAATTGAATGATAGTTATTTTTAGAAATTAATAATTAAATTCATAAAAAATCAATTGTATACACCTACCTACATTTGTATACCTACTGTTTTTAAATTATTTTTTTTTATTAAGTGGTGATTATGTCTTATGCATGTATATATGTGTATAATAGTATTATACCGTATTTCATAATATGTCTTGTCTCCTTACCCTGTTTCATAAATAGTAAAAATGAATAAATCATTACAATATTTAAAATGATAATAAATTATGATGTTTGAATGTTTTCATTGCTAATAGTAATAAATAATAAGTATGTAGGTAATAGTTACAATTTGTAACTTATACAATCTAGATAAATTGCCGACACGTAACCCATATATTAAAATATTACCTCGGTGTATTCGTAGTCACAATAATATAGTCATATTATATTAATAGTTATCGTGAATCACCTTTTTAAGTTTTTAAGTTAAACCACTTAAAACAGCTACTAATATTTTAACAGCTATACAATCACAAACCAATTGGTATCTAATTTACCATTATTTTTCGTAGTCATTTAAGAGTTCAAAAAAGGCTGTATAAGATAAATTTAGTGTTTCAAATAAAAATAATTCTGGTTAGAAGTTTACTCCCAAGTCTTTATTAAATTTAAAAAATCTCAGTTATTAATAAATTATAGTATGAATTATTCGAAACAGTTGGAGCCAACGAGTTTTCAGAACAAAAACATGTCTTACGACTTACAGAAAAACTCTCATGCCCTATAGAATAATCAGATTTCACGTGTAAAAGAAGAGAACATTTTGGAATTCGGATCAAAGCCTGATGTTTAAAATTATAATTTATAATTATAGAAGTTAAAATAAGCAAATTTATATATTGCTCCGGGGTTTTCTTCGCTGAGAGCGAGTCGGAGGGATGTTGAGTTTTTGAAGATTTTCCGTGCTTCGGAGTATTTTGGGCATATTGTTACAATGCGGTCGATCGATAGGATCACGTTACATGCTTTGCATATTGGAGCAGGTTACTTGGCGATGAGGAATGAGTGGGTGAGGTGTGTGTGGACTATTCTGACACGAGTTATAATGACCTCGTCTCTTCTTTTTAGGCTACAGGGAAAATTCCATTTTTTGATGTGAGGCTTGATGTTCCTTAGTTTATTTGATAGGGGGACACGTTGGACCAGTTTTTCTGCCAAGTGTCTAGCATTTTGAGGTTAATGATGTTGAGTGATTCTGAGGATGTGGTTAGGTTTAGTTTTGGAGCATTATGGTGGAGTGTAGCTTCGTTTGCGAGTTTGTCTGCTGTTTCGTTGCCAGAAATGCCGACGTAGGACAGTACCCACACGAAAGTGAATGTTTTATTTGACGTTGATATCAGTTCCTGAATATGCTGTACTAGTTCATTTGTAGAATAGGGATTTAGGATTGATTTTAAGGCACTTAA